GCCCCTGCCGTGACCGCTCCCCCTGTCTCAAAGCCGGTTGTAAAGCAGCCTACCGTCCCTGGCACCGACTCTCCCAACCCTTCTCTTGCCTCGTCATCATACGAGGAATTGGTCAACAAATACTGCTTTGTACGTACTTCCGGTCAACAATCATCCATGTCCGACCCTTTCATCATCGACCCTCACCGATCGCCCACTCTCAGCCCAAAAAGCATGTACTGACCTTGGCTATCAACAGTTCGGCTCCAAGCAGTCCAGTCCTCAGATTAAGGATGGCACATTGAGAAACGGCAAGTTCGACGGAGCTGACGATGTTTTCGCGACCCGTGGATCCAACAGCACCAGCTCGAGCTCCAACGGGAGCCCCAGCATGGCCCACCAAGCGCAACACGCCGGACCCGCACAACACCACGCCTTCCACCTCCGCGATTCCAACCCTTACTTTCAGCACCTTGGGTCTTACGGTGCATCACCAGCCTCATCTCCACTCAGTCAACCTTTGCAAAGCGAACGACCCGCAAATCAACGTCCGAGTCAGGCTACCACCCCAGCAATAATGAGGTCCGCTTCCCCCTCGACCTCGGTGGGTGGCTTCCCTTTCGCCGGTACGTCGCCAAATGAATTTCCGTACGCCCAGCAACTGCAGGAGCGCTTTCCATTCAATACCGAGACTCATGCGGCAACAGCAATTAGGGGTTAACGGCGCCGCTCGCTCCACCATGTAATCGCGAATGTCTCTGCGGTCTCGTCATTTGACTTTTCTCGATTGTGTTTTTGGACGAAAAATTATTTCATCTTATCTTTCGGACATTGGCGTTCAATGGCATTCGACGCCAAAAGGCCAGGGACGGCCATGGTATCGCGGGGAGGCGTTCAAAGAGTCATTCACAATCCATGGCCCTCCATTCGATTTCGCGACTTCCCGAGCATACGAAGGGCATTCGGGGGTCATTGGGAAAACAAACAAAACAGCCTTGCTTTCTTGGTCTTTCATTCGTTGCCCATTCTTGATGAGCTCAACGCAGCGTCGAGGGTTCGAGTCTCCTTTTCGGATGGGTACTCAGGATCGATCTGCATACAAGGAGTTCCTTTAATGCATAATTCGCTCGCACCTTCACTCTTGACCTTCAACAGCGGCTGTCATTGCGCTTCGAATTATCTTGTCATTTGTATTTTGCTCCTTGTCGAGCTTTCTTTCCGCGCACGGTAGAGGATCCAGGACCACCAGCACACGACATTAGGGGTCTTAGAGGGATACTGGCCATCGAATACTTGCTTTATTGGATTGGGATGATACCAGATGACATGAGATTGTCTCTGTCCGCCTCAGGCGGATGATATCAAGGGTGTGCACCGGATCCCCGACCTGTTCAACAACCCCAGTACGCTGCGTGGTATTGACGGGCCTGTCGAGGAGATTCGGTAGCGGTTGGGTTTGGAACGGACGAAAGTTGAGGAACCGAGTCTTGAGATTGATTGAAGCATCGGCTCGTTCGTGACACAATAGGTACCGGTTCATACAATGGGCGTTGGGAACATGGACGCAGTCACTTAGCAGAAGCGTTCGGCCATTTGGCTTGATTAGTTAGGGTAGCATGGGAAGACAAAAAAACCTGCCATTGCTCACACATTATTATTCTCTGTCATGTCGTTGCTGTACTAACTCAGTCTTGCGTTCCAATTCCTATTAGTGATGCTCTCAACACCCCGCCACATACCCCGGACGCACCTTCACCGCCGGAGCGACACCCTACCCCGTATCAACGTCTTACCTGCCATTGACAATCATCATTTTCAAGTTCTCAACCTCACAACCCATACCATGCGACTGCGACCGCGACCGCGAACGCATAATGATAGTGGCCTTTTAATACTTACCACGATCAAGTGATTCATTCTCCAAGGTCTTGTCGGTGCTTCATTTCGTTTCGCGGTTTCGGGCAGGGTCGTCGTTTTCGCTTTCGCATTTGGGGGCAGATTTGTACGAGATGAGTGGGGTCGTCCGTGTTGCATGATCTGGGGCGCCCATCGTGAAGGAGGATTCGGTCCCGATGTGTGTGAACCCCGCTCCCGGGGTTGCCAAGGGACGGGATGTTTTGTTGTACATGGCTTATGGGAGAGTGGCGGATGCGAGCAGGATGGGTTGGCGATGATGAGTACTTGATGGGATATTGGTAGTTGGAAGCATAAGTTCGCTTTCACAATCGCTCAGAAATAGTCCCCCTCGAGGACGAATGCGGACTGTTGGACCAAAGGCCGCCTGGGGTCGAAACACATGGTAGAATGCAGTAGTTTTGGAATAAAACATGCTTGAAGATCTAAAAGCACGCTTGCTATGTCGGACTGGAAGGACAGTTTTGCGAACTGCGGATCGCAATATCCAAGAAGGAGAAACATGCGTGTGGCCTGGCAGTCAGAGTACGTAGACAGAAAGATGTGGTGCCTTGCTAATGGAGAGGACATACAGGAACGAAGATACAGTGCCACTAGAGACATCTGTATTAGCAGTCTCAACGACCTCATCGTCAGCATGCGGGTGGCTATACACTCGAGGGGGAATCATGGTAGTATCTCTTATCAATAGTACACCCGTGGCTTGCTTAGCCGCATAGAATTGCAAAACAGTAACGGGGGTGGCACTATTAAGCCATCTGACACGCCCGGACTTAACTTGCTAAAGGGTTCTCGATAGGTTTTTGAAGATCGATTGTTTTAATCTTTGCGGCTCTTCTGTGTTCGTCTTTGGTGGCCTCCGGGTTGCGTAGTCTATGGATCCGAGTTCATAGCATCAAAGTTATCGCAATCAGTGGTATTGTAATACAATATGCAACACTGTTCTACGGTGCGCCATAAATCCTCCTTCTAAAGTGATTTTACACCATTGCCACAACTCCTTTTCTCCCTCTCACTGCTCAGTCATACCAGGAGGGCACCCGCCAGTGTAGTGTTCACATTCCGCAACCCAGTCGCTGCCGTAGCTCGAGGCGCAGTTCGCTTGGGTGATGGGCGTGCCCATAATACACTATAGGTGTCAGCATTGCAAAGGTACTCATAAACACTCGTTGGAACGTCTTACCGCCTGGACGTTGGTCGTCTTGTTCACGCAGTATTTATGGCCAGAGCCGGGCTGGCAGAAGTGATAGGCAGCGTGCAGATCGGGGACGCTCTTCTTGTAACAGCTGCACATCCAGGCTGAAACACTCAGAGGAGCGCTGAGATGCGAAGTCAGATATCACTCAAGCAACAAGGTGAGGACATCTTACAGGTACAAAAATGCAAGAATCGCAGCGGCCTTCATTGTGAAATGAGATGGACGAGTAGGACTGTACAATGGGATTGAACGATGAGGATGATGGGGTTCTATACAGATGGTCTAGAAAACTTGGCGTCTTCCATTTTATAACCTGTTTGCTATGTATTCTGACAACCCACTGAGTCGTGATAGGTAGCCTCGACTGACTTGTCGAGACTGGAAATGTGCGTTGCCGAGACAAAAAGTCTGTCCCTCCCTGTCTGGCTCTTTGCCTTTGGGCTATTATCGCACTAGTCAAATTGAACTAGGTTATCGTAGTTGCCTTTTCGACTTTAGGCGTCCGTCATCCAGCTTTTCATGCTGAGGCTCAGAAGCATCCCACATAGTGCCGATAGTATCCCACCGGATGCTATCAAATGCCAAAAGCTTGGTTTCTTAGAGCGGAATCAGTCAACCCAATGATCATCCAGTTCTGTCCTAATTTGGCAATTCTAAGAGTTCTTCAATCCATGCTGTAGAGTTTTGAAAAAAGATGTCAATACGGAGAGAGTGCCTGCTGACGTCTCGGCGGACCCGACGAGGCGGCACCTTGATAGATTAAACAACAATTGAGTTATTGCAGTCAACAGCCGTGGGAAACGACACACTCTTATCTCGTGTATAGACTCGGAGAGTTTACCCAAAGCAGTAATTAGTACCATAGTAAACCCCCAAAGTGGCAAGATCTCCGGCATCTTCGTTATCGTACTTACTTACGTAGGGCGGCCACCTGTCAGAGGCGCCTTGGTGCCATGATGGTAACTCGGCTTAATGGGAAATCTTCTGGAAGACCCACAAGCCGGCGGAAAAGGCTTGTTCAAAAGCTTGTTTTATCAGATAGGTCCCTAGACAAACACTTTGTGACCTCAACTTGCTAAGAGTTGCCGGTGAGTGTGAAGGCTCCTCGGCGGATCCCCTACCCTAGGCCACCTGTGTGTTGGAGATGGCCAGATTTCACAGATTGACAATTCTTCCGATATGGCCAAACGACAGCAAAGTGGGAGGCCGAAGCCTGGGCGCACTGCCGGTCACGCTTCATGCTACTCAATATTTGCCTGCGGTGATAATACAGCGGCGAGTGTTCAGACGCGGAAGATATCTGGAGATACAAGGGACGGAGACAATTCAGATGGTCAGTGCCTAAGCACTTTTGTAAAAGCCTCACTTTCTGATTCCACTTTGCGCTCTTGGCCATTCGCGGCAGTGTCTCCCGGCCTTGGGAATGGGCTTGATACTGACTATAGGACAACTATTTAAAGTCCGCTGCTGACCTCCCAGAACACCCACTCTCCACCTTTTGCGAAGTTCCGACACCATTGGCTCCATCACCAGATTGCCCAAATTTTTACAGAGTATCAAGCAACATATCATGCTTGCTTTGTCCTTGTTGTTCAGGTAGCATGGGATAACCTACCGCGTCTTACCAACATCCGAACACCCGCAGACGTCAAATCATCCGTCTTAGAACCTTGCAATTCACCTCTGGGATGCAAACAACGTGATGCGAGTTGCCATCTTTAGGATGTACAGTAATGACGAGTATAAAACTCGTTGCTAAGGGGGAAAATATCAGATGTCCCCTTCCCACACAGTCCTATATCGGAAGTACCTAGAATCTGAACCAACATCCGGCATTCCTTCGATAACCATCACTACCGAAGTTACGCAATTGTCCCTCCGCTCCAAGTCAAGCCAGATTTCAGAAGCAATGAGCAAAGTACCAGCAATATTCATCCACAACACAGAAGAACTCCCAGCTGAGGGCCTACTCTCGGAACTAAACGATCTTCACATTGACGACCGGAAAGATGCGCGCGGTGACGGGCACCCTGCCAGCCCACAGTACGACATGAGTTTCAGACATGCCGACGACTATGGAAAAAAGTTCCTGGAAGTACCCAAGCCCAGTGACTGTGATTCGGACAGTGAAGCGGCTCGAGCTCAAAGCAGCACGAAGGCTTCGAGCGAGCCCCAATGCGAATTGACGGCGACCGAATCAATCGACCGCAACGGACAGAAACTGGCTGTCCAGAGTGCGCCACATCTTTCCGAATCCGATCGCAAGACTGACGTCCTCGGTTTGGGAGTCTGGGCTGGAAAATCACTCACGAATTATGTTAAAAAGACCCCCATTGACTATCGTGAATCGCAAAGCCGACGACGATCCGAAAATCATCACGGCTCTGCTACAGAAAACCCCAACCATGCCGTAAGTTGGGCTTCTTTTCTTTCGGATGAAATTGTGTACGTACCCAAACCCCATGACAATCCATATGGAGCTTGGTATGCTGACAATAGAGGTGAATGACCTGCCCAGTAAGAGGATTGTGTCGTTATCTGGTACTTAAACCACAGTAATTCAGCATACATCAGCAACACCGGGACTTCTAGAAAGGAAGGCACCTGCAAGTTTCACGACTCATACCGCAAACAGTTCAGCAACGTAGGCCTCTCGACATATTGGTCTAAAAAGAACGTCGAGTTTTTGATTCGGTGCGGTGTGCTTCGAGAGACCGATGATGAGGGCTGGGATGATATTGTTGGCGAAGGGGAGAGGGGGCAAATTTGAGAGGAAATCCGGCCTAAGCCTCGACCTCTCCATTTCTTGCGAAGGCTTCTTAGATGTAGAATTGTGAAGTCGTGGTATAAAAGGGGAAATACGAATTATAACATCGACGCATCTGCTCAAGCCTTTTCTCTGTATTGCTTGCATTGAGGGGTTGTTCAATGGGTAAAAGACCAATATCGATTTCAATGTAGCCAACGAGCCCATATCATAACACTTGCAGTTGGATTTTGATGCCTATGGCGTTGAAGAACTTCCCGTCACTTCAGAAACAAGAATGAGGCTTGCAGTTTCTGTCTTTAGTCAAAGCTGATCATAGGGAGTGAAATATACGGAAGTAACCAGACCAACTTGCCCGTCATTAGCCAGTAAGCCACTGTTCCAGCCTGCCATAAATCTATTTGTCTTGTTGAGAGAGAAAGGAGAATAGGACGGCATCTCTGCTTAGATATGCCGAAATACCTGTATGTCAAAAGCTCCGGCCCGCAATATCACCAGCCCAAACATAATTCGAGACATTCATCATAGAAAGTGATCATCAACGCAGCCTATTCAGACTATATCTGAGAGGAGAGTGTTTTTTGACACCGCTTTGTAGCAAGAGGCGATAGGTTTCTGAGTGCCTGTAGGCTGTTCAACTTACTACCCACGAGCGCATCACTTCCAAGACGGTGAATTAACCAACGTTGTATCGGCTGTTCAGTATTAAGTAATACTAGAAGGGTACAGCTGCAGCTTGAAAGATCCCGACTAGTCTAGATGGAATTTGCGGATCGGAGAAAGAAGGTTTCCTTCCCAGCACCACGAATGTGAGGTTCGAGTCACGTAAGGTAGGCCTTGTATACTCATTGCATAATTGACGCGCGTTGGAAACGTCTAACGGGCTGTGCTCCCCCAAGTTATCCCAAGCACGCCCCTTCCCGTGATCAAGCCCCTTCATGAAGGAGCCGCCTTCTCTCAGGCTTCGGATGGTTCAAGCTTTCTCTGGCTGACGATCGTCTCGGGTTCAAGACTATGTCCGAAGATTCCATCGCGCTTACAAAAATCACACTTTTTGCTGTACAATCTTACCGTAAAGCTTATTGTAGGTACAGACATTCTTTTGGATGGAACACTACACATTTGACTTTCATTCGCTTTCGGATTTTAGCTACATTTGGAATAGTCCATCGTCCAAACGAAGAAGTGTCCAACAACCACCAATTTCGTACTCGTTTTCCATCATGTGGTCTTTGTGGTGCCTTAGCGGACTTTTTGAAGTTCGTGCGGTCTCAATACCGTAATCTTTGGAAAGGTGTATTAGGATGCAACTTCCTCCGCAACTGAATCTCCATCCAATGAGTCTTTCATCAGATATAGGCCTTCGACCATGTTCCGCGATCTCCTTGACTGACTGATCAGCAGGTACCAAGAAAACAAGATCTAGACCTGGCGAAGGCTAAGTAAAGCCTGCGAGAACCGGAGAGTTCTTCATCAAGTCATGATTCCTCAAACATCAACACACTTGAGCATACTCTCGTTACGGTTGAGCTGGAACAACCATTTCGGGCCCCATATTCTTCTAATCGACAGAGCAGCCGACTCTGCAATGGGTTCGTAAGACGAGGGGCAGAGACCCGATGAATCCGGAGTTTTGAAGTGACCTGAGGCGGGATGCTGGTGAAAGACCGTCGCCTTGAAAACCTGAAACTGACTAACGATGTGACCCTCGACCATAGAGAGATACTGTGACATCAGGCGGACCCATACTCAGACAAGTTTCGACCGTGGTGACGCCCGCATCTTTAGCTTTAGGCTATGTTTCGATAATTGACTCGAACTGCTCGCTCGCTAGTCAAGTGCCGAATGGACCAGGAGGCTTTGTAGTTTATACGGCCGTCCTGGTGCAACACGAACGAGGTCTCAAGGTCTCATTACTACTTCCTCCCCAAATGCCCCGCGAAACGTTTTAAGCTATTTGCAAATATTCGGCCTGTTCTATTTCTTTCTTGCTGTTAAATTTTGTCTGATAATTAGTCCGGTGCCTGGGCACGAACTCGATTTTCAAGATGCTTGTCCTTCTTGCGGCGTTTACAGTTATTTCCTTCATCGAGCCGTTTGCCATCGCTTCGAGAGCTGGCTCAATACAAGTAGAGTATAGTAGAGATCCACCATCGGGATGGACACTCTCTCGTCCCACAGATTCAAATCATCTATTCAGCATATCCATCGCCGCCGATAGAAGCAGGCATGTAGAACGGGCCCTCTATAGTGTCTCCACGCCGGGACATGAGCTTTACGGCAGGCACCTCTCTCGGGAGGAGGCACAAGCACTTCTCCACCCCGATACGGAGTCACGAGACATCATTATAGACTGGCTTCAGGAACACGGGAACGCAACAGCGGGAGATATAGAGAGCGACGGTCATTGGATCAAAGTGCAGACGACGGTGAAGAAGGCGAATAATCTGCTCGACGCAGACTTTAGATGGTTTCGAAACATTGATAGCGGCAAGGAAGTGCTGCGGACGTTGCAGTATTCTTTACCCTTGGAGTTGAAGAACAAGATCTCATTAATCACCCCGTCGACGAGATTCTGTTCTCACCCGATGATGCACCAAGGATCGGCCGTGGTTGCGCCTCTTGCTGACGACACCCCCCGCGACGAGCTGCGGAAGGTGAAGAGGTCGTTGACTGGGGTGAACCCGAAACTTCTTTACACGGCACAGGTAGATAGGATTACACCACCCGCATCGCAAGCACGAGCCGATCCTACGTGTAACAGGACCATTACACCTAACTGCATACGAGCTCTGTACAATGTTCCTGCCAAAATGAACGTCAGTCTGGCCCGCGGTCTTGGGATCTACGCTTCGCAGAATCAGGTTGCCAAATTTGACGACTTTGCCCTGTTTGCCAAGAACGTCGATCAACCGTCAACGGGAGTGAAGTTTTCTTTCCTTAGCATCAATAATGGCACAACAGATCAGGCTCAGAACAAGTTCTCAAACGCCGAACTCAACTTCGACGTTCAGTATACGGCTTCACTGTCCAACCCGGTACCCAACATCGTCACCGCCGTGGCGGGAGATGGACCAATCAAGCTCGAACTAGGCGGTCAACCTGGGGACACGACGGAACCTTGGCTGATCTGGTTAGACGCGATGCTCAAGCTACCCGACGAAAAGCTTCCTCACACAATCACTACTAGTTTCGGCGAGAACGAACAGTCACTTCCGGACGGCTATGTTCAGCAGATTTGCGATCAGTTCGGTGCACTCGGTGCCCGGGGCGTTACGATGTTTGCCGCGTCGGGTGACTCTGGACCGGGCAACACGTGTGTCACGAACGACGGTACCAACAGCACGCGTTTCAATGCCGTCTTTCCGGCATCATGCCCCTTTGTCACAGGAGTTGGCGGGGTGAGGGGTATCGCGCCTGAGAGGGCCAGCGACTTCTCGAGCGGTGGGTTCTCGGACAAGTTCGCCAGACCGACATACCAAGAACAAGTTGTGCCGGCGTACTTGAAGAACACCATTGGCACCCAGTTCAACGGCCTCTTCAACGCATCAGGCCGAGGCTTCCCAGACGTTAGCGCCCAAAGCTTCAACCTCACATTCGTGACGGGCGGCCAACTAGGTGGCTTCCAAGGTACCAGCGCCGCCGCTCCAATCTGGGCAGGCATGGTGGGCATGGTCAACGCCGCTCTCATCCAGGCGGGAAAGCCGCCAATGGGATTCATCAACCCATGGCTATATGGCGCTGGGTTGCAAGCCATCAACGACGTGTCTGCTGGGCAGTCCGTGGGCTGCACTGGCACAACTGGTTTTGGCACGCAAAAGTTCCCGCCTGAGTTCGGAGCCAAGCTCGTGCCGAACGCGAGTTGGCCCTCAGTGGCTGGCTGGGACGCTGTCACTGGGTTGGGGACTCCGGATATTGGCAAAATGTTGGCGCTGAGAATGTCAATGTGATGAAGGTTATGCAATTTTAGACTACAAACAATTTGGGGTACAACTTTGACCTAATCCTTAACGTACAAGTTTTCCGCCCAGTCCAGTTTTTAGTGCAGTACATAGTCCCGTTCACAACTTTGCATTGTTGACTGCAGTAATTGCGAACGGATTTGCAGTAAACGTTCCGTTGGGATCAGCGAGTGCTCTGGCTTTTCCAAGCCGCCTGTACTTCTCCTCATCTTCGTAGTAGCACTTCCAGATCTTCTCATCACCCAAGTTCCAATCGCCATAGGATCCCCAAAGAAGACGTCTGTCCTTCTTGCTGAACGGGCTGTCAGGTCCGATCATAATCTGATCGTTCTTGGCTTGCCATGATTGAGCCAGCTTTCTTGAATCTTCATCGGGCTCGTGGAAGCAGTCCAAAGTCTGGACAACAGACGAGTCTCTCCAGCTGTAAGATGTGCCGTTGTCTCTGTTGACGAAGAAGCGCGAGTACTTGCCTCCAAAGCACTGGATTTGAACCGACAGCTTACATCTCATAAAGCGCTCGTAGTCCTTCTCACCCTCGTGTCCCTTGAGATACTGTTCAGGGTTGTAGATGAGGTCAATGCGGTCAACCACGGCATCAACCCATTTGTCCTTTGTAAGGCTGGTGGAGTTGGTCGCGTATGTGCGCTTGACGTATGGAAGGTCAAACTCGCGCGCTCTGGGGAAGATCCACTGCCCAGTCATATCCGACATCTCCATGTCGAACTCTCCAAACTGAAGCGAGAAGTCTTCCAACAGGCTCTTGAGCTCTCGGAACTTGCCAAACCAGGCATCGACATTGGCATCGTACACGTCCTCCTTGCTGGTCGGGCACCACTGCGCGTACAGAATGATCGAGGCTGGAAAACGTCCATTGAGCAACTCCAGGAAGTCGTCTTCGAGCGCATTCTTGATGCGGTCCTGAATGCGCTGCCAGACGTTGGCATCTTTGAGCTCCTTGAACAGAGTCGACATGGGGAAATCTGTGCTGATGACACTGACACAGAGGTCAAAGCCGCGGGGGAATGTAGGGTCATCAGCCATCTCGGCAATGGCATTGAGAAGTGTGGTAAGAACTTCCTTGGAGTAGAGCCAGAGTGCCTTGATGCCATGAGGTCCTTTGAAGCCGTTAGGTCCAGCGACGGTACCAAGGTAGCTACTAGACTTATACACCTCGACGATGTAGTGAGTGATGACGCCGAAGTTTCCTGGGCTGCCACCAAGGATGGCATAGAACATCTCAGGGTTGTTCTCCTTGGTGATGTCGCGGATGACACCGTCGTGGCATACCATGCGGATGGTTCTGATATTGTCTCCAAAAAGGCCGAAACTTCGGCCTAACTGTCCGTAACCGCCAGTCTGGCCGTGACCTCCGACGCCGACGTACGCACACTGGCCAGTGGGAACAAAGAGCTTCGTCTGCTTGAGGTACTTGTTGAGATCCATCATAGTGATGCTGACGCCAATATAAACAAGTGTGCGGTTGTCTGCAATGGGTTCCTTGGGCTTCAAGATCATCAGATCCTTGTACGTGTTACCCAAGTCGATCTGGATGTTTTTGCCGCTTGTGGACGAGGCTCCGCTGTACTGGTGGCCTCCACTCTTGACGGCGACGGCCACTTTGTTTTCCCTGGCCCAGTTGACCGCTCTGATGACATCTTGGTCGTTTTGAGGTCGCACTATGAGATCGGGGTTCATGTCGTGCTCTTTCTGATATGTTGAAGTTGCATATTGCTGGTTGAAGAAAGCGTATTCTTGCATCTCAGACTCGTCTCCCACCCTGGAGTATTGCATACCCTCGAAATCTTCAATGCGAACCATGGTTGAGATTTCTAGAACGGAAAGTAAATAATCTTTTTTTTGAGAGGTGTCTCTTAGAAGAAGCAGAGTTGCAAAGGACTTGATCAGCAGAAACAGGACAGCCAACAGCAATAAATAAGAATCAATCAGCATCACATGCATGGACCCCATTCACACGGAACCCTCAAGGCAGGCTACATACTTCTCAGCCGCAGAGTCGTCTTCAATCGGGAAAATTTGTGCAACAGTTGATCGTAGGCTTTCTAGGTGAATGACGGACGTTGATTGGTGTAATCAAAGACAAGATGGTCAGCAGTCTGACGCCGAGTCCCATCACCAAGCCAGACAGACTACTCAGCCAGCCTTGATAGCCTTCTGCATTCCGACGAGTAATTGCTGCAACCAGTTCGGCCCTCAGTCTCCGGAGTGGCTGACTATCACACCGGCTTACGCTGCATAGTGTAGGGGCCGGGCCGCGCAGGTGCGTTTACGAGCGTTGTCGAAAGAGCCGTGGCGTGGAGCTGGCATAAGACACGCTAGCCTGATCCGAGCATATCTGATGTTTTGGGCCGCGGCTGAAATATATCAACCATGTCCACCTTCTGATAGGTGGCCAGGCATCACTTCGGTTATGCCGCATTCCCGCTTACTGGCCAATGTTGTGCTTTCGCTGGCAAGGCGACCCCCATATGGCGTCTGCTGGACCTTTTTGCGAGATGCTGTTTTCAGGGGAAACGAATGACTTGCAGAAGTAAGGGTTCCAACCAGCTCTTGGCCAAAACCAACTGTGCAACTGAGAGCCTGGTTGGTTGAAAGCTTTGAAATCTGTGAACGTCATGTGGTTGCAGCATAGTGGAGCTGTAAGGCTGTGTTGCAGATGCTGCCTGCGTTCGTTAGCCTCATGGCACGCATGGCAGTTCACGTGGCCGCACTGTCTAGTGCGCAAAATCCGTGATGTCAATCGGATCTTGCTCGGTAATTAAATGAAGAAACCAGCCGTTTCTCATGTATTTCCTGATTCACGATAGGATCAATCTCATGGGCACCGCATGGCAGGAGTAGATTAAACTCAAAGTCTAGTCCTTGTTGTTACTACTGTCACTTTCCTAATCATTCGTATGCTCACTGCAGTTTCTAACTCTTATTTACCACCACCGGACATCATCTGTTGGAACTTGAGAAATTGTTGGTACTGTTCCATGTCAAGGGACACTCCAGCGGTAGCAAGAGATTGACCTCCAACGGTGCTGGGGGTAGCTTTTTTGTCCGATCCTCTTCCATCTTTGGCCTCGTCCTCAGAATCATCGTCACTTTCTTTCTCTGTCTCGGAGCTATCTTCAGACTCGAGGTTTCGCGCAGGATTTTTCAAACCCTGCTGGAAGCGACTAGCCTGGGTGAATCTGTGCGGCGTCGGCGAAGGTACGGTCTTCCTAACATCATATCGCCAGCCCTCGCGTCTAGCCTCGTCTGCCTCAGTCGCTCCGTTCACATTGATGAGATAGTCGTCGAACTCTTTGAACCCCTTTGCAACCTTTTTGAATTGCTTCTTGCCAAGACTGGGTTTGGGCTCGTCTGCCTCTTTTGATATGTATTGGTACTCAACTAGAGCAATGGCTGTTTGAAAAGCGTTTCGGATTTGTCTACATCATTTGGTTGTCAGTAAACTTAGCGATTCTAGACATTGAAATACATTACTCGAAAGCTGGGCGAGTGAGACATAACCATACCTCCCATTCCACGTGTATCGTCCTTCAAGCTCAAGGCGATTGTAGTGCTTTTCGGCAAAGCTCATGATTTCCTTCTCTTTTATCTTGAAGTTCTGGGTCCTCGTACTGCGCTGCTCTTCCTTGGCTCTTTTGATGAACTTCTCGTAAATCTTGAGAGTCACTGGGAGATCCAAATCGTTGTAGGAGAGTGACATCTGAATCCTTGACTTGAATGCTGGATCGATGGCTCCCACACGGTTGGAGGTAAGAAATAGAATCCCCGCGTAGTACTCAAGTGTGCGAAGGAATACGCTCGTCACGGCATTGTGACGGATGTTGTCTCGAACTCTCTTCGCGAGGAAGATGTCAGCCTCATCCAGCAATAGCACGCAACCCCATTTATGTGCAAGCTTGAAGCTATATTGCAAGTTGGTCTCGACTTCGGCCGCCGTCTCTCCAATATCGCCGCATGTAATGGGGAAGAGAGGTCGATGGGTGTCATCGGCAACGCACTCAGCCGTCGACGTCTTCCCCACGCCAGGCGGACCGTGGAGAAGAATGACAAGGCCAGCCCCTTTGCCCTTGACAAGATCCAGCGCTGTTCCTACGCTACGTGAGACGCCAGGAGATGACTCTGCGGCCCGCTTGTTCTCATGCGTTTTTACCAGTGCCCTGACAGTCTCCTTGTGGTCTTCAGAAATGACGAGGTCGTTGAAGTTATTCTCAAACACAACTTCTTTCAGGTCTGTTGTCCAGATGGTTGCCCACTGTCTAGATCGAAGAACGAAGGCGTAGACGTAAGGCTGCATTAACATCAAATCTTCCTCTGTCAGATCTTCTTCCTGCAACGGACCTAACATCCTGGTCAGCTTCTGACCGAAGGCGGCAGCATGCTCTTCATCGTATACGAGGTCGTTAAAAATGACATCGCCACCGCAACAACCTGGTTCACGATGATAACACCAGGATCCTTCAATAGTCTCCCTTTTGTCCCTTCGTGTGAGCTCTTCCGACGATATACTGGTCTTCATTCTCCACTCAGTTTTAGCCGTCATCGCGAGGCGCATGTCGACTATGACTTGATTGTCTAAGTCATGAGATGGCTCATCGAGTGTTTTGCCACGAGCCAGCTTGTGGCAACTTGTTTCTCGAGTCAAGTCCAGAAACCTCGTGCCCATTGCTTCGAATTCGGCTCGTAATGTATTCTGCTTCGGGTCGAACCGCAAAGGATAAACGGGTAACGAAGTAATCAATCGTTTTCCATGAAACCGATGAATTGGGAGTCTCTGTAGTTTTGGGATGTATGCGGTGCCATCGGATCCAAAGCTTAAGCAGTCCAGAACAAAACCGTCCACAGGAACAGGCTTCTCCACGTCACTTCGCGGGTACCTAGCTTCGTACTGCAGTGGCTCGCGACCGCCCGCCATGTTGATGACTCGGTAAGCTTGATTGGGGTCAGAAGGCGTAATAACGATGTCTCCCCGTGCAAAGAGATGCCAAAGATCGTCATACTCGATTTCAAGCGCCGTTCCATCCTTGACCTTTTGGCGCAGGTCCAAGGTGGACTTCAGGTCGTTATCAAGAAAGTGGACAAGTAGCTTCAAATCTTCCACAAGGTTCTTATCATCAAAGTCATGCTGAGTCGGATTTTCGCGAATAGGCTCAGCCGCTTGCTTCTGAGATTCTTTTCGGTGATTAGAGGGTGTGCCAGTGTGCATCCAAGCTTCCAGTTCAGCCTGACTCTTCCTGATTGCATCATGGTGCTCAGCGAAGAATTTGAAAGGCCGGAGAAACGCGACGCCGCTGTGCACCTTTACACCGTCCATCTTAGTCGATTGTGCAAGGCCCATTATAGCTCGTCCAGTTATCTTCTCGAGATGTGACAAAAGAGACCACGACCTGATTCGCAGACGCTCTGGGGTCTTCAGAGAGCCGCTTTGCAACGGTATACCTTCAGCATTCCCAGGCGTTTGGTGAGACAGACTGTGCGATTCATTGTCCAAGGTCAAAAGAGTAGGTGGAATCCTTCCGGTGACTTGTACTTCTAGGGCTGGTTGCTGAGCGCAATGCAGCATAGCCGTCAGCCGCGTGATGCGAAACTGATTTGCGTATGACCTCCGCAGTTCATGTCGATGAATGGGAAATTTGGTCCTTTTCGGGGCTTCCCAAGTGTCATCGCGATTCTCAAAAGCAGCTTTCAGCTCCTTGAGACCGCGCTCGAGATCTTCAATCCGCAAGTTGGTAAATGTGTGGTGTAGAGATGCTTGATGGTATCGCATTTTCATCCGGCCGGATTCTTTCTCCTCTTCGAATACATGACGCACCTGTGTCGCATTCGGGTACGCCGCTCGATGGGCCGCACTTATTACCTCGCCTTCATCCTCTTCCACTGTGTCTTCTAAGGGTACATCCTCTTGATCCGCTGATGAGTGACCATCTTGTTCAGAACTCGGAGTATCGGCTTTTTGGCTCGTCGGGTCGACATTCTCACTCTCGGAACCGCAGACAGACTCCGGCATTTTATTAGCTTCGGAGGTTTCCTCGCGATCTTTTTGCTGGAATTCCTTGTTCGTGACAATGACAGAATCTTCTCGTGCTGCTTGCGATAGTTCTGGCGGCATATCCAGGTAAGGTAGGTTGTGCAGAAACCAATGGTGATGAGAAAGCCGGTGAAGGAAGGGTCTAAAAGGCAGAAAATCCCCCGTATGACAGTGTTCCTTTAAGTACGACGGGGCTATAGACCGACACCGGATTCAAATGTGTAGGAAGACACCGCCGCACTTGAGAGAGTGATGGTCCTAGGCTCTCGGTTAGCAAGGGGCTTCGGTGTCATCTCTTTCCGCACTGTCTGTATCCAGTCAATACCGACATTTGGTGACGCTGCAAATGCCACCGGTAGGTACAGAAGAACGAGACACTCACATTGGCTGATTTTCAGAAGCACTATCGTCCTCTGCATGTAACGTATCACACTTGATTGATGGAGGGTCACAGCCTGCCGTAAGCCTGCCTACAGCCTGCTTGAAATGCGTTGGTCAAACTACGCGCAGCCAATAAAGATTGGTACCACCATGCAGTCATGTAATATTCAGCGGCTATTGAGGCAACAGTAGCTCCTTCCAGCTAGGGTGTCGGAATTCAATTGCCACATGTCCTGCACTCATAATCATCCCTGGCCTTCTCTTGGAGATGATGTGATGTACGCAGGCCCAGTCCTTTCGTTCTGTTCATTACTGACAGTCTGTTCCCAAGAGTCTCATGGTTATTAACTTCAGACCATGGAGAGTGGCCAAAGAAATTCGTTCCTCCTTTCCAGGGATCGCTACCCTCAAAAAGAGGCAGTATCATTCATCGAGAATCAAATCTGTCCACCGGGACAGCTACTACCAGTGTATAGCGAGCAAAGTGGAAGTTTCGTTTCTGCAGATGAAGCATGGAAGCTGAAAGATGCGAGGTAGACGCTTGCCACTCTCTGTTTCAATACATGTGTATCTTCATTACATGTAAGACTGGCTCAACTAACAAGTTCTTCATCAACAAAAGCACAGCAATGTGGGAGCAGGCGAATGAGGAAAAGGAACGCCTTTTTTCCTTAATGACACAAGTGGAACAGAAACTTGCAAAAAAGAAAAGCGCAGCCCACATCCCACTCGACGCGGCATCGGAATTGCGACGTAGCAGCTGGTCTCAAGTTTTGACTGAGGTTGAGAGGACTGCAGAGCATTGGAGAAGTAGCCCAAACCAGGAGAGTAAAAGAATGGTCTTCATTGATAGAATTGGGCGGCATTCAGAGTCTCTGGAAGCTTGGTTAAGTTTGTTGCCGATGGGAGATTACGGAGCAAGGTAATGTGGACATTAGCCACTCCCGCCGACTTCATGCAAATTTGCACTTACGCGTTTTTTGATCAGTATCTGTGGAGTATTCAAGCTTTTCATCGGGGTATGCCTTGCCTTATGTTTTCGGTGACGTACGCAAGGGAAGCCCTATATTAACGATAGACCAGGCTGCCTCGACCTACTCCAACACCCCGGAGATCATCTTCGAATTCTTGGCACAAATTCCAGATATGATGGAAAGTTCAAGGCAGTACATGGCAATGTATCGGAACATGGGAGGCCACCGTCTTGACAAAAGAAGCTTTGAGTTGTTCCAAGCCGTTCTAGAGGCACTCATTCATGTGATGCAGTTCTTTCTGAACAGCAGGCTCAGTAGGTTGCCTTCCGATTTCCAGATACTAATCAACAATGATCTTTCCCAAGCAGGCTATGACTTACTAACTAATTAATCATCTAGAAAATGTGACCCATGCTTGGCTCAAGCAGGGAGCATACCAAGAAGATCTCCAGAAAAGTATTGAGAACGTCAGAACTAAGGTCAGAGCGTTCAGAGACGAGGCTCAGCAATGTCACGCTCAAGAAACACATGAGAGCATCCGCCTTCTATCTGAAATGAATCAACAATCGAAGACATTGGCCCCCTTTTTTCAGAGATTTTTCAAACTACTGGAGACGAATCTAGGTTTAGGTACCCAAGCTCTCCAATCTTTCCCTGCATGTTCAACACCCGTATTCCTCGCTCCTTGATTCTTTAACTTCCTATGTCCACTCAACTGGTCATATTTTTTATCCTCCCTTACCCCTCCACTTTTGCTTGCATCCTCCCCCTCTTGGACAGAAATTCCACGCGTTAAGCTAACGTGATCTCATGTAGAACAATCTGATCAGCAATCTAGTTCCTCACAACCACGAATTTCGGCTTACGACATGGTGAACGCAACCCACATCCTTCCCGGGACATCGATATCCCCGAACACGCGGGCGAATGCCGACGAACGACAAGCGGAGGCTAGAAGATCACAAGAGCGATTACTTGAATCTCTTCAATACGACCCAAGCCTTGTTCCACGGGACGTGGCCACTCAAATTCGTCTTGGCAGTAGACTGACTGGCAAACAAAAAGCCAAAGCAGCCACCCTCATACGACACGAAAGTTTCAAGTCATTCATGACGAATACAACGTCGTCAAGCTGTCTTCTCGTCAATGGAAGAGACGACACCGCTGCCGTTGACGGTATCTCACCGCTCAGTCTTGTAGCTGCTCAGGCGACGCAAAGCTTCATGGCTGCAGGGGATACCTCGACACCGTTCTACGTCATCAATTGGTTTTGCGCGGAGCACAAGCCAGCCCTCGTGGCAGCCAATAATGCTAAAACGGATCGCTGCCCCAGCAGAATGATGACGAGCCTCATCGGTCAGCTTCTCGAAAAACTGATCGATAGTGGCGTAGAGGTCGACTTATCATTCATGTACGATTCCAAGTGGCGGCATGTGGAGCAGCTCAAACCGACGACTCTGTGTTCGGTCTTTGTCAGACTAGTAGAGCAGCTTCCTCGAGGGAGTATCTTATTATGTATAGTTGATGAAATTGTCTTGTACGAGACGCGAGTTCTGGAGAGCGACACGAACGTAGTCGTGGGGAAGCTGGCAAGGTTGGCTGAGAAACTTTGCACCGGACCGCAAATTTTCAAACTTCTCACAACTTGTCAGAATAGAGCTTTGGGTATGGCGCAATATTTTGGCTACAACAACATCGTCGACTTGGGTGGCAGCACGGGCTCAGATGAATCAGCACAGTGGACGATATCAAATATGTCCATAGCATACTTGGACTCTGGGATGGATGGTCAGATGGATTGCCACGACCACGCTTGACAAAAGTCCAGGTGGCAGCACTCTGATAATTGCCAATCTGACAAGAAACTCAATCTCGAGAGTCGGCACTAATCGTTCGGACATGTGCTGTTTATTTAGCTTCATCCGCGCATTTGAGCTACTAATTCCATATCGACACTATAGTGATCCAGCCAGCTTAGGTGACACCTCTGAAGATGGTGATCGTAAGTTCTTTTCGACAAAGATGCCATAGCTTTCCGAAATCTATCAAAGCTGTAATCCCATCATCGGCACTCTGGGCCACTCGTGATGGCATTGGGCAGTCTAGTACATTGATAGAGGGTAGATTCTCATTGAGTATTTGAACAACATCAATACTTACCACTACCTGCATCGTTGACAATAGTAAATTCACTTCTTACAAACCATCTATCTCACCTCTCAACATGGCAAACGTTATCAACACATTGACCGGCCGTTCCGATATGATACCGGTATGGAAGTACCTCCGGTCGCACTTGGCCAACTCGGTTGGCAAACACCTTTGTCGAGCAGCTTTCCATAATTTGCAGGCGAGAATCGGGAAAGACCAAGCATGGACTCCTGAAATACCCCGATGTCATCAAAACGAAATCGAACACGGTTCTTTGATGCAGATATCTAGTTTGTCGGCTTTGTCTGGTTAACCCTGTCACGATGACTCTGTGTTCGGTTTTCTTTGTCCGTTCCACTCTCTTTGCTCACCTTCACACTCTGTTCAGCTTTCTTTATTAGACGGCATTGGTGTTCTCTACACGGAGATCCTGTTATAAATGAGAAGAGGAGAAGGACTCTGGTGGGATGAGACAACGATCCGTCTTTCAATTATTCCTCATTCACTCTCACTCTCTAAGAAGTGCGAAGCACTACCAACGAAACATCTTGTACGGCTTGATTTGTGACTTATGACTTTCAGTCATTTGCGTGAGTTTACAAAATGGAACATGAAGCTTACGCGAAGAATTACATGAGATATATCAAGTCCGGCTACCTGACTGCATGCGTGGATGATGCGGTACCCGAAGCCTTCTCAGGGCCCTCCGCACCGCCTCGAGTATGGTCTTTCGATATGACAGGCATGAGAGACGTTTTGCGTCCAAAACAGGCAGCTTCGGAACAGAGTGAGATAGACTTCAGAGTAGAAGCAACCGCCGAGATGGAAGAACCAGAGGGCGAAACGACGGCGGAAAGACTATCCCAGTATCTCATGTGCAATAGGGTCTGGCCCCGGCAGGCGGAAAAACGCGAGATGTTCTGCGAGGCCAAGCTGAGTGTTGACCGAGAAAGAACTTGGGACTTCATAATCGGGAACGATCTCTTCAAGAAATTCGTCCGGAGGAAACCACAGGCAACCCGTTGCTTGCTGATTATGGCTGGGGAGCACTACGGAGAGGTAATCTCAACGACTGGCATATTAGCCGCCAATGTAATGGAAAAGTCCGCATGCAAACGGAACAAGGAGGATGTTATCCCGACTTTCGTCATTGGCTGGTTCTGCGCTGATGATACCCAAATGGAGGATCGAACAGACCCTGGTAAGCCAGTCAATCTTTCCTCAAGATTAATGATGGCAAGCCTTGTGTGCAAACTTCGAGAACAGATGATGGCTGAGAAGATTGAATGCGACCTGTCGTTCATCAATAGCGAGCTCAACTGGGATGACATCGGTAAATGGGAACTTGGGGTGCTGAGCGAGATGTTTGCCAAACTGGTATTACAGACTCCTGAAGGAAGTCAGATAATTTGTGTCATCGACGAAATATGCACTTACGAGGATCACAATTTCACTGATGACGCAGACAAGGCTATCAACGCATTGGTGGCAATAGCCAATTCTGCAGAGCTGCTCACAGGACCTCGATCTTTCAAACTACTTCTGACTTTTAAGCACGAGGCTTCCGGAATAGATAAAACATTCAGAAGTGAAGATCAAGTCATGAAAGTCCCACAGGAAGCAGAGATCCCATCACCCTGTGACGACTATCCTGATTTCTCTGCCGGATTGGAACCCTGAGGCGATTCGTGGCCCGGCGGAGGTTGAGATATTAGAGACACAAAATACGTTATTGCACGTTTCAAATGACAGTTGTGGCCATGACGCTATTGTGAGAAATATGCAAAATGATGACTGAAAGCGTTACGTGATTCTTGAACACTTTTCTAAGTACTAAGTAAGGTAACTTGAGAAACACACCTCAGGAGACATGAAAGGAGCTGAAATTATAGCAGTGCAGTTCTAGTAGCTGTACAAGCAGTAACTGAAGGGAGACTCATTGATATTTCTTTACCACTTGCACCACCAAACCGAAGCATTCTTACTCTAGCAGGGGATACAGATCTGCCAATAATGAAGGCCATATGATGAGATGAGAATCTCAACATCTGCAGAGATGGACATCCCTTTGATTCATTTGTGTCTAGTGCCAGACCTCAAAATATTGCAATAAGCTACTCGGTGTCATTATTCCAACCTGATTGTCTGTGGTACCAAGACGTGGAACGTGGCTTGCAGCCACAGTGTCTATCATTGTAGTGAGATATCACATGATTCATAATGGATTTTCTTGTCATTGATTGTCATTGAATTATTGGCTTATTTGGCGCCGAGGCTTTCATTTCTCGAAAGAATTGTTGGGCATGGTCTTTGATTTCTTTTGACTGATCTTCGTCTCGCGTTTTAGAAGCCGCGCGTGGCTGGCTTGATGAATTTCTTTGTCCCGAGACGCATCGGAGTTTCCAGGGCAGTAATTCTCTAGACATTTAAAGGGCTCCAATGCTTTTTGCTGCGGGATCAAACACGCTCTTTGACACGGGTGTTTGACTTGCCGACCTTTCTCTACTTCACCCCGTAGTCATGGGTCATACACATATCCTGTTCGGTTTTCATTGTTCGCATTTCTATCTCTGCCTATCCCTCTCCCTATTAATTACCACTACTTCTTCAACCGATTGATGGAGTATGACTCAAGCTTGGGCCCTTCTATAAATGAGCAGTCGTCTCGGGGTTCAGGGAAACGGTTTCGAGAACGACAGATTGCGATAATAACCAGCACGACTCAAAAGCCAAACAGTTTTCTTTTTCTGAATATTACCAACCACCAAAAACTTCAACCTATTGAAGAGTCGCCTGGAAGCCATGTTTTCTCCCGTACCAGAGAAGGCCTACATGTATGGCATGACCGACAATGCCCACGACCCCCTTGAAACCTCTCCACCGCCTGCCTATAGCGAACTGCAGCCTTGCGTACCTGCTCAGTTCTCGACTTTCGATATGAAAAACATCAATGACGCGCTGCCTCCGATACTGAGACAAAAGGCGACGATGAAAATAACGGATTGTATCTTCAAGCATCTCAGAAATGACAAAAACCTTGTTCCGAATGACATCGTCGACTGTATTCGCAATTCCAGGAGCCTCGTTCATTGGTCCAAGGCAGATCCTTTTCTCTGCCACCCATCTCTGGAGGAGTTCCGTGAAAATTTAGACCCATCCTGCCCGGTCTGGTCAATTCTTTTTAATGGCAATGGTTCAGAAGATGCTGCGGAAAACTCCTGTAATGGGATCACGACTTTCAGCTACATAGCTGCGACAGTGGCGAACGGCCTCATAATTGAAAAAAACGCCATCACCATCACCTGGTTTTGCACCAAGTTGGACGACCATTCTGCAGAGAGATACCGCCCTCAAGCAATGATGGCTAGTCTTGTGTGCCAACTTCTGGATAAAATGATGGAAGAAAAGATTAAACTCAACCTTAGCGCCGAACCAATCGTACGCTATTGCGAAAGGCGATCAGTGAAAGCTCGTGATATGGAAACCCTTTGTCGACTATTTGCTAGACTCATGGAAAAACTGCCTGTGGGGAAAACCGTGTTCTGCATTCTCGATGGAGTTACCGCCTGCGAGAATCTGGAATCGAGGCGCGATCTATACATGGCGTTGGGCTTACTGAAGCATCTTTCTGGGGGTAGAGTCCTCAAACTCATGTTGACGTCCCAGGCCAAGATTTCGCAAATGGTGGGTTTGGGAATTATCGAAATGCTACATTATGGTTTGGCCAAACCACAGTGGGCAGAACGCCTTGTAAACGCACGCTGTCATCAATTCAAGGGACCAGCCTGGATAGATGACCCTTACGACTGTGGTCATTTAGAATGCAGATAAGATAGATCTATACTACGTTTCTCCTGTCCATGTATGACAGAGCCAGGTACCTTTAACTCGAAAGCATGGAATGAGTCAGTAGGTCGAAAGCCTTTTGGATTACCCAACTACTTATGGAGTAAAACGACTGGCATTTTCTCCTTGGTCTTCCAAAACCGATCCCTCAATTACATTCTCAGGGTGAAGCAAGCCATGCACTGATGCATAAATCCACCACTAAGCGTTGAACTCCGAATTTCGGTAGACCTCCCCGAACAAGACGTGAGCAAGGGCGACCATTGAGACCACTTAGCAACGATCCCAGCGAGCGACGACGGTCCAGTTGTCCTTGTGGAAGGCACGACCGCTGACGAGAGTGCCAACACCACGGTAGCACTTCTCAATGACGTGGTAGGCGCCATCGGAGATCTCCTTGAAGGAGTTGAGGGTCTTTGCCTTGCTGTCCTGTATTGTTCCCACATTGTCAGTCTCGTTCTCGATGTTACAAAGTTCTGAAAGGAAGCATCCACTTACCATGTTGCACCAGTAGATGGCAGAGTTATAGCTGCAGCTGACACGGCCACAGCTGCCGGGGCCGGGGCCGCGGGTGGGCTTGCCCTTGACGTCGAGAAGGTAGCGAGCACCCTGGGCGAGGCGCTTGCGGTCGGCATCGTCGTAGCCGGCGCAGTTGACGGGGGCGTCCTTGAAAGTATCATCGGCCTGGGTGACGGCAGACTTGATGGCGGCGTCGATGGCCTTGGTGGAAGTGAGAGAGGTGATGCCGAGGTCCTGGTCGTAGTTGGGGTTGATGGTGCGGAGCTCCTTGAGGACCTCCTCGACGGTGCCGGTGAGGGTGAGGTTCTCACCGCCGGGGTGGGCCTGGACCTCCCACTCGATGGCCATGAGGTGGAAGCCCTCGACGCCCATGGGGCCGTTGACGTCCTTGTCAATAGTCGTGCCCTGTTATTTCGAGTGTCAGTTGCATCTGGAAATTTTAATGGAGAAAATGCGTTGCAAAGAATTACCTTGACAGCCATAGCGGCAAGAGAGAGGAGGGAGATGTTCTTGATCTGCATCTTGACGGTTGGAGTGTGGACTGATAGTGCGGGTGGTGCTTGGTGGGGTGAAGTTGGGATCTGGCTATGATATTGAATGGAAGTTTGTGGTGGAGGAAAAAGAGATAAGATTCACTTGTGCGGGATAAAGCGTGGTATTTTATACCGGGCAAGTGAGTATTCGATCACCCGCCTCCATATTCACACAACGACCTCACGATGCCCTCTACCTTTCCGCCTCAGGCTCCCGGCGCTGTCTTCACCTATCACAGCAGGGCAATCACGTGAAATTCGGTCCTTTGTCCAGCTTTTGATACCCAACAAAGGAAGGAAGTGTCTGCAAGGATCGATCGGACCTTTCCATTGAGATATTTGGAACAATGGCTAAGGAAGCGATTTCGTGAACACAACATCATGCTAAAGGTATTCCACACCACGGCAGGAACGTGTGTGTGCTCACCCAAGACCTACTGCCGTTTGGAAATGGACCGTCGACTCACAAATATGTTTGATTGATACCTTTAGCAAACCTGGCCAAGTTTGCCCAGGTAATCTAGACCACCTCGACCACTATATAGTACTTTGATGAGAGCGTTGGCAGTGATACCACACTACTTTATATACAAGCCATGTATGCTCGCTTCGGCACTCGTGATGTCTTGGAAGATGTTTCGGTTTTAGTCTACTTAGCATCTCACTCAAACCTTGTGGTTATGGCGAGGGCATACTTGCTGTTGAACATCTTACAATGATTGTGAGATCTGGACTAGTGTGACACATGGACAACACGAAGAGACTAGGGAAATCTTGGAGATTGTCAGCTCATCATTCGACCATCATCAGAGCTAACACACAAATAACCAGGAACCCACCCGTTCATGGAAAGGAAGAAAAGAAGAAACATCATGGATTCGATCAAGCAATTAAGACTCCTTAGCCCACTGCTTCCCACTCCAAAGATTCCCCGTCGTCCACAGCCAGTAGTCCCGACCCTTGATCATCCACACCATGAAGCTGGGCAGCTGATATCCCATGGCGGCCCCGACCCCCTTGCTCTTTCCCACCGGAACCAACTGAGTCTCACGGACGTCCTCCTCGAATAGTCTATCCTTGTCACTGGCGCTCTCCGGACTTTCAGAAGCCAGCAGTAGGTCCCGCTTAATGTTGGCGCACATGACCGGAACCGCACTCAGGATGTTGTGAATAGATGGCCTGGCGAACGAAGACGCGTCGCCGATGGCGTAGACGCGGGGTCCAGCTGGATCAACGCGAAGAGTTAGGGGGTTCGTATTGACTCGTCCATCAAAGAGGAGCAGATCGTTGTCGATGAAGCTCGTGTTCGGTCGTGTACCAGTTGCGGGGATGTAAAGTTCGGCCTCAATTGTCTTCCCACTGTCCAGAGTGACCATTGCATTTGTCGTCACTCCTGTGATTCCAGCTTCAGCCGGCACCACATCCTTTACCCGAACCCCTTTCAGGACAGTGACTCCGACCTGAGCGAGATAACCCTCTGCTTTGCGGGCGATAGCAGGACGAAGCGCGGGAAGAATTTCAGGGGCAGATGAGACAAGGGTAATGGGAACCTTTGGACGTTGCGACTTTCGACCATTCAAATGCTCGCCCAGCTCGCCGGCGGTCTCGACACCCGCTGGCCCTCCACCTACGACCACTATGCTTCTCGCCTTCGGCAAAGTCTCGCGGAAATCGGCCCAGCTTTTTCGTAAACTTTCAGAGTCGCTGTCGAGACCGAGGAGAGGCGAGGGAGTTGATGCACCAGTAGCAACCACTAGGGCGTGGTAGGAAAGAGTGATTGGA